TATATATATATTTGGATGGGGGAACCCCATTGGTGGGCCAGACAGAAAGCCTTGGGTTTGACACATGTGCTTTACAATAGAAACACTTCTATCTTTTTTATTGGTGACATTTTGTTTCTGCTTTCATATTTTGTCTTTTAATGTGCGAAAGAGATGTATTCTTCTCTACTGGTCTTAACTGCAGGCTACCATGGAGCAGTTGGAGGTCCAGGTATTTGGGCGCTAGCTGTAATTTTCCTAATCAGCGTCATTGCCACCGGCTCATTCATCCTATACAAGTTTAAAAGGTAAGCTTCATCAAATTAGGAAGAGTTTGTTGGTCTCCACAATTAAGGATCAACCATGTCAAACAGAATGTTGTCAGCTTTTTAAATTCAACCTTTTTTTAACAAAACCTAGAAATAAGTTAGTTTCTCTTGTGTCCCCGAAAATTACTTTAAAATATAGAAAATCAATGAAAACATAGATTTTCCTAAGACGGAACATATGATGTATAGCAGGCATCACCAAATGGCTCTGTTTGTAAACAGAAGTTCATATTATGTTTAGTAAAGTGGCAAACAGCCAATATTTCTTTACTCAGGTTTAAATGTTTAATTTTTAAATCTCTATATTTTTTTCTTGATGGATACACAAAAAAATGTGCCTAATACATATAAAAAGATCCTAATATGGTCCAGCCTTGTGAGCTTGCATGAAATTTCCTAGTTTAATTATGTATGCATGCCTTCTCTTCACTCTGATAACTCACCTGTATCACTGTCCCGAGTCCAAAACACACAACTATCCACAGAAAAGTCACAATAAAAAATGCCATATAGAAAAATACCGCCCCATCTCATGAAAACAATGAATCCCACAGTCCTTGGCTTAGGCCTGAGGATGCCTATCCCCCGTTGTTTTTCAGGAAGCTTCCAGGAAACCGCAACATCTATGCYCAGATGCACAACGAGAAGGAACAGGAGATGACAAGCCCCGTCAACCACAGTGAGGACACACAGCACATTATCCAAGGCGAGGAGTTCATTGACGATGACCTGGACTCGCAGACTTTAGGTAACGCAGGAGGTAGCCCCGCCTTCCGTTCCCTTATAAGGACTACCACTAACCACTGCTACTAAAACCCAAGCCACTAACTACAGCAGCTAACAGACACCAAGGTACTGAGTGACTTCACTTTCTTTTGTTATCACTGGTATTGCTAATGATGTTTGACCATTTACAGTACATTTTATGATCATCAGAGTTAATAGTTTTTTATGTCTAGCAAATTATATTATGTAACTGTCATAGCAATAAGACCATTGTGAACAATCATGATGAACATCGACAATATTGAAAATTAACTAAGAAATCTAAACATGTAATTGAATTATGTGTATTCAAAGCTTGACATTATTTCCCTTCTACAATCTTTTTTAAAATATTGTATTTCTAAGAGTTACCAACATTTTAATAACACAAAAACAATTGTTTTTTTTTTTGTTGCAGTTTTAGTGTTTAGTGATTACTTTTGAACATTGTGCAAAACTTAACATATAAAGCTATAATTCATGCTGTAGGTACAAAGGGCATACTACCTTTTACTACTCTTTAACTGCTGATTACATCAAACTCATTTTAATCCTTAAACAATATTTCCCAAGGCTCATTTCACACTAAATGATGACACTRCTATGGTGTAAAAAACATCAGCTAGACCATGACTGACAAGGACTGAAGGTGCATAGTAAGAAAGCAGGGGGCTTCCATTTTTATGTGCTAGTAGGTTCACAGTATTTTTTAATATGTACAGAACTTCTGTAGTAATGTTATAGTAGTTACTTACTGAGGTAGCAAAGTATCAATGTCCTGATTGAAGTATGGGTGAACAGAGTGATATTTTTCACGGTGTGAGACTTGAATGCACCAACTTGGTTTGGATTGGTCATACTGCTCACATCTAAGCTACAACAATAATTGTGACCAGGTCATGGAAGCAACCAAACACAGACATGATGATTGTGGTAGCATCATTCTGTGGTGGTGATCTCCTAGCATGTAGCTACATTCTGACATGGTCTTAAAAGGAGACATGGGGTAATACATGGCAAGATATTTGTTGTAACTGTAGGCAATAAATAGAGCATGGTGAGGGTCCAAGAGAGCAGCTCACAGATGCAACACAGCTGGAAGAATCATACAGTGAAATACCGATTTTTGCAGGGGTTACGTTCTTGGAGTACCTGCAAATAGTGAAAAAAATGTGAATAATGGATGCAGTCTAGAAAAGGCCTACAGCACACTTGGGCTGGCATTTGTAATGTTGTAAGAATCAAAGAAAAACACACAAGAGCCAAACTGTTAGCAGCTACACACCACACTGTGTTTATTGTTAGAAAGTGGAATTGCTGTGTTCTGGGCACAGTGCACGCATCATGTACTGTACTGTATTGTTTTGGGGGAGGGGGGATATTGTTTATGGAAATGTCCATCCATCCATTTTCTAGCACTTATCCAGAGTYGGGTCGTGGGGGCAGCAGCCTAAGCAGAGAGACCCAGACTTCCCTCTCCCCAGCCACTTGGGCCAGTTCCTCTGGGGGAATCCCAAGGTGTTCCCAGGCCAGCTGAGAAACATAGTCCCTCCCAGTGGGACATGCCAGGAACACCTCACCAGGGAGGCGTCCAGGAGGCATCCTAACCAGATGAACCACCTCAACTGGCTCCTCTCGACATGGAGGAGCAGCAGCTCTACTCTGAGTCCCTCCCAGATGACTGAGTTTCTCACCCTATCTCTAAGGGAGAGTCCAGACACCCTGCGAGGGAAACTCATTTCGGCCGCTTGTATCCACGATCTCATTCTTTCGGTCACTACCCAAAGCTCSTGACCATAGATGAGGGTAGGAACRTAGACCGACTGGTAAATCGAGAGCTTCACCTTCTGGCTCAGCTCCCGCTTCACCACGACAGACCAGTACAGCGCCCACATCACTGCAKACGCAGCACCTCCAGCCTGACGATCTCCTGCTCCATTCTTCCCTCATTCATGAACAAGACCCCAAAATACTTAAACTCCTCCATTTGGGGCAGAACCTCTTCCCCGACCCGGATAAGGCACCCTACCCTTTTCCGGCTTAAGACCATGGTCTCGGATTTTGGAGGCACTGATCCTCTTCCCGACATTTATATTCGCGTCACAATAATAGTACATTTTATTGTTCCTAATTGTTTAGCTTGTAAGCTAACAGAAAGTCAWGAGGGAAAGAAAGCTGACTTTTCTTACTGTACTGTATTTCCAGTCTCTGCAATGTCACGGGAACTAAACTACTAGGACTTAGGTTCCATGACAAAATCTGGGAAAGACTGATTTTGAAGATTATTTTTCTGTATTTTTTTGCAGAACAAATATCTATCATGTTGTTGTTTCTATGCTTAGCTTGATGCGACAAATGCTTTATTAGGAGTTCTGTGGGAGGGATTATGATGATTTATTCCTACTTCTTCAACATGACTATAAATACTCAGTAAGAAAGAGAAAAAAAAACTGAAAGGTAATCACTGACTCTCTTACTCTCACATTTCCTTCAGCTATAAACCAGCCTTTTGCGTGTTTCAGCATCATCACAGAAGGAGCTTTTCCAAATGTGCCACAATTCAAGTCACATTCATAGTGGCGTCATTATTGTGTATGTAGAGAAACTAAAAATGACCAATATTTTTATAAAGTAAAGTAGTTTGAAAATCGTAAATAATAAAATAAACTATATTTGGTTTGTCTATGTGGCCTCCAGGATATATTTTGCCATGAATAAACACCACAAAGCACCTTTTTGCTTTAGTGAACAACAATGTTTCAGAATTTGTGCACTTTACTCTTGAGTTCATCACTCACTTGGTTGCCTGTTTCTTTTTCTAACTTGTCTCCAGGCAACCACTCAGGTGTGGTCTTGAGCATCACCTCCAGAGAATTACACGGTTACCTGACAAGCTGATCGCTGACATGGCAACAATGATGAGCCCAGCCGAGTCGAGACAGCTAACAAGCACAGGGACTCTGCCTTTCTACAATGTTTTTGCCCCAACCCCACTTTCCCCTCCAACCTGCCTAATTTCGACAGGATTTGTTTAGACCTGTATTTTACATCATTTTAAGGCCCTTTTTCATTTTTAATTTTGTTGATCTCAATCATGGAGGATGTGAGAAATACATTTAAAAACAAGTGGACTGTATCTATACTGTAGATGGAGATGTTTTGCCTCCCATCTGAGGAGCTTTCTCAGTTTAAAAAATAAGAAAATCAAATTTTGGATTTGAGAAATCTCCCTGGATGGGAAGGRAAACATCTCAACTAATTAATTTTTTTAGTCAAAACACAGCCAGATGGCTTACCTGTGTTTTAAGAAAAAATGGTCTATAAATTTTCTGCCATTTAACATGATTAAAATGAGTAAGCACAACTCACTCTTCTGGCTTCCAAGAAAATTTTGGTGTAAGACGGTAGAACACTTTAGGCCAACAGTGACTGAAGTTAGCTGCCTAAATACTGCTGTGTGAGCACTAAACATAGGCTGCATCGGGGTACAGAAAATAAATTATTGACTATTAAGTTTGTATTCTTCCACCTGATATTTTCTTCCTTTTCCCCTAAAAGTACCACTCCACTTTTCCCTCTTCAAAGGCAATAATAATCTCAATGGAATGTACAGTTTGATGAACCCTTGTGGATTTGCATACAAAGTGAGTATGCATGCAAACACAAGAGGGCGATGTTGCACTTTCTTAAATTTCCACTCACAGGTACTTCTCACCATTTTGGGACTATACACTCTATGTACACACAGCTTTGTTCATGTTTCATCATWAGGAGTCTTGTTCTTTGCTTTAAAAGTTTATCTTTTTTTTAGACGATCTGTGCGTGGTATTTCAAATCAACTCTTGTCTGTCCCATGGTGCCTCGAAGGGCAGACTCTGATCTGCTTGGTGACATTATCTAACGTGTTTAGTTATTTCTAAAAAGAAAGAGAACAAAAACAAAAAAAAACATGGCCCTTTCTGCTCCTCCTCGCAATTWATTTTAGTCAGAGCAGACTCTTTCCTCTCAAGAAGAAGGTTTCCGACATGGAAAGAAGGGGTAGTTGATTTATTCAGTACCAGCCTATATTAGGCGTAGCCCTAAGTGGAATCATGTCTTCTTAAAGGTTTGGTTTCTTGTATGTAAATGTGTAAATATGAACAGTGAACTCCACTTTGTACATACTCCCATCATCATGTGTTTTACACTGCTACCAAAATACATTCAAATTGTTCTTTGATTTCTTCTTCCTGGAGTGATTTGCCAATGTTCCTTCGATATAAAACTCTCACTGTTCATTGTCATTGCTTGCTTTATATGTACTCATGTTCAATATTTTTGTATTTTGAGTAGCAACATGTCACAGGCCTGGGTGATTACTGGAAATAGTTTCAGAATCTAAAAAGACCCTCACAGCTACTGAATAATGCTTATATATATGGATATTTTTGATACACGTCAGTTTTCTCCTAATTCACACCAAACATAGGTTAGTGTTTTTGTTGCCTCTTGCCACAGTTTATTTTTTGTTTTGTTTGCACTAAAAAAGTGAGATGTTGCAGCTGCAAAGTTCTGGASGTTAGCTGCACAAACCTACAAACTCTGAATCCGAAGGTCGTTGGACAAAAGACCTTTGAGATCACCGATGCTACCAACKTTGTTGACACAACTCTGGTTAATCTTGTTGTTTTTAACACAGCAGATTACATTTACTCACTCTGGTTTAAATCAACTTTTGTACATATTCTGGTCATGTTCAATTTGGTCTTGGTTTTATAGTAGGGTATGGTCATTGAATCAATGTCCCTTTTGGAAAAAAGGGAATGTAAGAGAACTGATTTTCAAGTTCCACTGTAATAGTCGAGGAGTTTCACAGATGATGACACTGACTTTGTAATTTGTACCACTTCTTTTCACTGTTTTCTTTTTCTTACCTGTTGGTATGTTTGAACTCWTGATTTTGCTATTAAAAACAATTGTGCGTTCTTTTCAGGAAGCATACTGCACTGAACCTGCATCCTGAAATAAATCACTCCCATAACTTGTACGTCTTCWTGCATATCATTTATGTGGATTGGTTTTATTTGACTCAAACCACAAGTACGTTTTCATAAAAAATGTAATACACACTTTAATGATCAGACATTTTCCACTGTATTTGATTCTATTCAAAATTTCAGTCTAGAAACATTTGCAGTTCTGTTTGTTCTACATGCGCTTACTGAAAAAAAAAATTGAGTCATGACAACCACGTCTATAAAAAAATTTATTACAGGTTTGAACYGACAGGCATAGCACAACATCCCAAATTTAGACAACCTGCTGACCTCATCCACACATACAGATGCAATGAGAGCACAAACTTAATATAACACATATATAACCAGAGAAATATTTTATCAGTTTGAGACTGCAACTAAAGGAGAAGGTTTTAAAATGCAAGCAGTTCCGCGTTTGAAGCTAGATTGTGGATTTTCACTCACAAAACCACGTCCAAGAAATGAGGATATATCATTTGTCTGATCTAWAGTACTGTGTCATCAATACATGTTCCCAATGATGAGATTTATGCTCTGCTTTTATCCATCACACATGAAATGCACCCAAGTGGAGCAGCGGGCAGCTAGCGCCTAAGTAGCAGTTGAGGGTTAGGAGTCGTGTTCAAAGACACAACGAAATGGGCRTTTCTTTGGATACATTTTTTTATTGGAAAAGTTTAAAACTGTAATATGAACAAAAGTGATATCTATTAAGAGCAGTTTGATAAGTGCTATATTTAATAATTTTGTGTTCTGAAGATCCTTTTTACAGTGGGCAGGTGCCAACATGCAGCASATGAATGAATAATGCAAACTCCAAAACACACAARCACAGAAAACAAATAGGCCTACARCAWAATTCTGCTGCAATCCCAAGAAACAAGCAAAAACATACAGCCAAGAAAATAAATGCAAAGGAGAATATCCCGTAAACACAACCACATGTATAGGAAAATGCAGCAAAATCAGCTACACAAAAAACTGCACCAGACCACTAGAGGGTCATGAGACCAGACTACGGGCAAATGTGATAAGTAAATTGTACCTTGCCTTTTTTTCCCTTCAGCTTTATTCCACACCATGTTAAAGTCTTCACTGAAGGTCTGGTCCAATATGACTTGGTGGTTGAGTCCCCATGTTGTAGATTGAGTTTTCATCATTTCTWACATAGTTTTTAGTCTGTTTCCAGTCTGTCACTGGAGTACACACTAAGTCTACAGTCAGACACTAGAGTACACTCTGACTACAGTGTGACACTGGAATACACACACTGATTCTACAGTCTGACATTAGAATACACACATTGGGCCTCATGCAAGAACATGTTCGTATTCTTATCCTAAATTTCTCTTACTTTTGTTCGTACAAAGGGTTCATACGAACATGTCACGTCAGATTCAACAAACTCTTCTATCTTCAGGAAAAGGGTGTAAATGAGCTGCGTAAACTGATGAATGCATATCAGGTTCTCGTTCACGGGGAGAGGTTATTTACATAATTACCACCCCAAAAAACACCATACAGTATACACTTTTCCTGCCACACATACCAGGAAGTGTCCATTCATAAGTAACATCGCACAGTAAAAAAGAAGAACTACTTTGGAGATTGAAGTTCTGCTCTCAGAGATCGTGTCAGCTGTAGAATTAAAGAATCTGCTTTCAAGCCGAGGAATGAAATGACTGCTGTTAATGTCATGTCTCCTGGGTCGTACAGTCACAGAAATAAAAATCTAAATCATAATCATCTCCCTCTGTAGTCCTGCTCYGCTTTGTCTTTGGTCAAATATTTTTAATTTCACWGTAAACAACTGTGTTGCAGCTTTMACTTATTCAGGGGAGCAGTCACACACTGGCCCAATGACTCTACAGTCTGACACTGGAATACACACCTTGACTACAGACTGAAACTGGAGTGCACATACTGACTACAGTCTGACACTGGAATACAAACACTGACTACAGTCTGACACTGGAGTATAAACACTGACTACAGTCTGACACTGGAATACAAACACTGACTACAGTCTGACACTGGAGTATAAACACTGACTCTAGTCTGACACTGGAATACAAACACTGACTACAGTCTGACACTGGAGTATAAACACTGACTTGGTAAATCATCTATTTGTCTTCTTGCTCTGTTGGTCCTTTGTTGCTTTACAGCAGCGTAATTTAGGTTTTCTGCATCTTGGTAACCCTGATACAAAAATATAAATCATAATAAGGTAAACTGAATTTCTCCAAAATGTAAAGACATTTTTCACATATTAATAATAATTCAGTAATGTCTTCAACATTTATATTTTGAAGAGTTACCTCTGAATCCACCTTAGTGCCATTTGAACTTGCTTCATGTGGCTCTGCTGTGAAACAGACCAATATATGATATAATATAATACAACACAATRCAATACAATACAATACAATACAATACAATACAATACAATACAATATAGCTATTCCCTGGTAACACTAATAATGGTTTTAGTAAACAGTTTAAGAGAAAAGTAGTAATAACCTGTACAGAAACACTGGAGTCTTTGCTTCATCTTGTACACAGAGAAAACCATGCAAACAATCAGGATGATGTTGGTTGTCAGAGCTCCACTTAATAAATATACAAGAAAGTCAGAAGAGATCAGCTCATCTACAGAAACAATATAAGACAAGACATTTGTTACACAACTTTAATTATCTCTGTGCAATTAATGAATATTGCATGTATTTACCTGCAGATTCCATTTTTGACTTGTCTGAAAACAGTATGTGTCCACATGAAGCTACAGCACAGTAATGAGTCTCGCAGTCGGTCACATTTAGGCTCTTTGGTGGCAGGTTGTACACACAGTTGTGTGTTTGTACACTGAGACTTCTCTCACACTGATCATTTTTGCCTCTCTGGGTGTAAATGAGTCCTGGATGGAATTTCCCAGCATTTTTGAACCAGTAAACACTGTGTTCCCCATCACAGGTCCCGGTTTGAATGGTACAGGTTTGGGTCCTGGAACCTTCTGGCTGAGGGGTCTCACATTCKGACTGGTGGACTGAAGTTTCGATGTTCAAACCTGAGCCCTCCACACTCACCGTAGCTCCATCCCCAAATTCAAACTTCTGTGCATCGATACCTACACAGTAGTAAGTCGCTGAGTCAGAAATGTGTAAATCGGWGATTTGAAGGTGACTTTCTCCATTTTCTACTTTCAATGCAAAACGAGAATTGTTCTTGAATTCATCGTGAAAGCTGCTGTGGGCATCGTATTTATAAAAAGAARCAATCATATTGGGTTTTTGTCTCAGAATTTGTTTAAACCAGTAAACCATCACTGTGYCTTGTTTATCATAAAAACATCGCAGAGTCACGTTATCACCAACATGGGCTAAAGAAAAACCCGTGTCCTGATACACATAGGTAGATGATCTCTGAGCTGGAAAAAAACAGATTTAATTCAAATAATTAAACTTATTCTGAAAAGTTGAAGTCCTATAAGGTACAGAAATGATCTGAACTGAAAGCTTACCTGAACTTAAGGAAAGAGACACGAGAAAGAAAGCAAACTTCAGGGGAGTCATCGTGTCCAGAATGCTCGACTGATGGAACTGAGTCTCCTTATAACTTCTGCTGTTCAAAGAAAGGGCTCTGATTGGCTAAAGAAAACGAACATCAGAGAGAACAGAAAACAGCTAAATGGAATGTCGATTTACTCTTTATGCTGTCATTGTAACAATTTTTCTTTTCTTCCACTTTTTACAACTTCCTCTTCTGGACTGACACTTTTATTATATAAAATTAATAAAATGCTCACTAATACATGCTATTGGTTGCTTTTAACAAGAAGTGTGTCTTTTTTATTATTTTAACGTAAAGCTTTTCTATTATTGTTCATGGATGTGCAAGTTTTCACTGTCATAAACACGCTGGTAGATATTTTTACTAAACATGTTGTGTATTCATGTTGATGTTTGTCATTTAAAACTCAGTTTCTTTGGATGGCTATAAAAAGCTGACACTCTCTATATACCACCAACATGACTGGATCAAATTGTACCTAAAATAAAATGGCCCTGGTATATTTACCATTTTCACATATTTAGAAGTTATTCATATGATTGTATCTGTTCAGGACTTAAAACTTCAACTTCAAATACTTTTTCTTTAAAAATGTCACCCACCCCAACTAATATAAATGTTAATTGCTGTATGGAGATATCRAAGTCACACTGTGTGGCTGCAGGGCATGGAAAACAAAACACTGCAGAGACTTCCTGTTGGTGACCACACAGAGTGCAACATGATRTGAGGAGGTTCATGGTCTGAAACTTGCTCAGAGCTAACTTTAAACCACGTAGAAGCTAAAAAAAATTGGATGGAGGTATGTAGTCAACAAGATCGCAGTAAATGATTTTTGAATACTATATCACTGGGACGCTCAAGACTGATTTGCTGATTCCAAACAAGAACAAATATTTTTGCACTCCCATTGTAAGACAAGACATACTGTATTATAGAATGACACCATCCATCAATTTGTCTGTGGCGGATTTCTTGTCTGAGCTCTAAATTGAAACCCTTTAAGGATGACATGTCAAACAGCACAGCTGGAYACCTCATCAGTGATGATCCCTGTTGATTTGAAGGCCATGAGGTCAAATGTCAAATTCACAGGTGATCCTTATCTATGCTTTGTCTTTAGAGTGAGCCACAAATGTTTAGGATTGAAAATGCCATCGGACTATGGCTCCAGATTATATCTTATTTTAATTAAGAGCACTTCCAACAAAGAAATGTTGAGTGGTAGTCAGACTTTATAGACATACTTGAAAAAAAAAATAAAGTAAAAGTAAAAATACCCTAACAGAAAACGACTGGTAAAAATAAAATTCACTGATAAAAGTACTTAAGTAAAAGTTATAAAATGGCTCACAAAAATCGGGAAAGTAAAGGTACTTTTACACACTCTAAATAAATAAACTGCTGAATTTACTTAACCAAACTGGTTCCACAAAACCAAGTTGGTTAAATTAAGCAATGTACATATTTTTTATGAAAATATATTGCTTCATATTTACTCTACTAGGTAACCAGTAAATCTGACACTTTTTAAAAAAAATTTTAGCGCGCATGAACAACTCCTTTCAAGATGAGTTCGGACATATTTAGATTTGTAACGAGTAACTAGTTGTTAAATTTTAAAGTAAAGAAGTGGAAATATATTTCAGGTTTTAAATGTAACAAAATAAAAGTAACCAATTAAAAAAAACTTGATAAAATTACAAATCCTCAAAAAAATTACTGTAACAAAGTAAATGTACTTAGTTACTATCAACCTCTGGTGGTATTCATGAAGTCTACTAGCATGGGCATAACGGACCTGGGTGAGACATGAGTGGAACATGTCCCCTGCACTTCCTGTGTTTGTGCCCTCTGTCCCCCACAGTTTTTTCAGCCATTACAACASTTTAAWTCATTAAGMTGCAGTAATGTGTTTTTCCGAGCCATCTTTAAACGCACCATTAGCTAACACCWATGTACACCCGTAGATCACCAGCTGCACTGTGTGGGTCAAAAACCAGGTAGAGCCAGCAAAAGGCAAAAAACTTAAACATTTTAATGCTGTTGAAGACATATGTTAAGTAAATAAATGAGGTAATACTGTATATTCCAATATCATATTAAGCTATTTAACAAGAATACTAATGTTGTTGTTACCTACAGTATATCTTATGGATAAAACAAATCCTCTTTAGTTTCTGTGCAGAACTTGTGCTCACTTCATTTCCATATAAAATAAATATTTACTGTCACAGTACAAAGAGCAAAGTTAGGTGGAGACAGACCAGATCCAGCAGCAGGGACCATGATGCACATTCTTCTCAGGTAAGGACCGATTATAACTTTTCTGCAGGGAATAAAGAAGGTAACAGGACAGGGGTTTCACAGATATTCCAGAATACTCTTAATAAAACTCCAAAATACTTTAATTTTTTTTATTTCTACTTAAGTCCAAAACAAAAATGGAACTGCTAATATTATTTTTGTAATACACTTAATTAAGAAATGAATGTTTTAGTTCTAAAGTAAAAAACTGACATGAATGTTTAAAGATGTAGTTTATATTTAGACATGCTTTAATTTATTTTTTAATTATTTATTTTCAAATATTTTGCTATTGAATTATTTGTGTTCCTATAGGCAGCAGGTATGGGTCATGTCATTTTTCTTTAGCTTGATTCATTTTGAACGTTTGTCACATTTGACTAACATGTTGATGCATTTAGTGCCGTGTCACTTTCTTTGTTCATGACATTAAATTATAWGACTCATTGCCCTGCTACCATGTCACTTCCATTTTGTGTGCTATGTRCTAATTTGTTTACAGGAAATGTTTTACTRAACATTTYATGYTCACTTAATGATCTGGCTACTTACMCTGTAGATGTTGGAGGGAACTCAACCAGAGCCTGGCRGCTAAAACTTTAGATTTTGTTAGTAAATAGTTTAAAGAACTAGAGTTGGTTCTCTGGTGCTGTACTGTGGTTGTTACTGATTGTAGTAGTAGTAGTAGTATATTTTATTTTCACGTATGCACCAGCAGGTACCCAGTCTACATGGGTTTACAGTACAAGACACAATAAAACATATAAAAACAAGTAGACAAATATTTTTCTTACAAAAAGTGTAAACTGAGCTAACTGAAACACAAACTACTTAAATAAATAATGCATTTTATCTTCATTGATTAAATAAAAGAAATTTGGATTAACATCAAGGACTACTAAATTCAAAAACAAGGGCAGTAAAACTAAAAGTGCTTTTCCTTTTCAATTTCCCCCAAATCACACAAAAAACATCTTCGGTCCTCTGGGACAAAACGAAAACGTCCCGTCTCCATAGCCAGAGGCAAAAAACACACATTTAAACTGGGCACCTTAGTTGTTTAGATAAGTTCCATTATCTGTGTTTTAACCACTAAGGAGATGATTGAATTTGAGATGATAAATCACTCAACAGACCTCTGAAACCCCCCCACCCCCTCACTTCTGAGATGGTGATAGGTCCTTGACTCCTATGATCATAACTTGGCTTGTAGAGGTGGCTAACACACAGTTTATCAGTGTATCTGCTATTTAATTGCATCTTCAGTTCTCCTGGTTCCATGCAAACCTGTATTTTAGTGAATTTTCCTTGGGATGCAAGCAATGTCAATAAAATTGAATCTAAACACACAAGCATCAACTAAAGTCATCGACTCCACATTTTCAAAAAAATAAAAAATAAAACAGGGGTGAGTACTTAGTACTTTGACTTGACTTGATGGTAATGATCCTGACAATATTTACGAGGGAAGTGAGTCGTTTAATTATATCAAAAAAAATCTAAAACTACATCTTTTTTTTCCCTAAAACATTGTCTTGTGTTTACGCACAACTTTTTTTATTCCCTGACGATAGACGTTGCCTCTACAGCAGGTTTTCAGGGTCACGGCGGCTCCAGTAAAAGTCACCTGCAGATGTTAGGTCATCTTCTTTGTGTTTGAGCTTGGTGAGAGCTTGTTTCCATCAGTGGAAACTTTTACTGTGCAGGCCCACCTTTACCACAGCACTGCAAGGTTTATAGAGCAAGACGTGACGAACCGTGATGCACGACGTGCCGGCAAAGATATTAATAGATTGGAGGAAGCTTTATGAGACCACTGTGAACTCACAAAACTGATGTAGTGGATTTAAAAATAATACGTACAGTRTATATGTCAACTGAGTAAAGGTAATGCAATAACAATAACATGAAGGGGCAGATATTATAAGATTATTTTTCTTCTCTCTGCTATCTTTTATTTCATTGTATTTGTATTTTCTTTTTTTTGTACATAGAATTTTGTTTTTAAGAAATGAATAAAGTTTGAAAATAWTAAAAAGGTAAATGTGTTACCTTTACTCTGTTCAGCTGAGTGGAACCAGGTGACATAATTTATTTTATTAAATCCATTCATTCTGATCTTTGAGTTAAATTTTCTGTTGGAGGTTGTGATTGTAGTGCTCAACTCAATTAACCAAAAATCTGCAAAAAAAAATGCATGTTTATTTAATACATAGCAACACTGTAGATTGATGTTGTGATTATTTATTGTTTCAGTCTTAAGAAAGAGGTTCTTCACACATTTCTGCTCGTCACACTGGAGTAAATACAAACAYTCTCAGTGTCTTGCTGCTGTCGACCGTCGCTCCTCCTCAGGCTCAGAGCAGCRTAATGGACACTTGTTTCATCGTGACTCTGCAGGTGACAGAAAAGCAAAATGGGAACCAGGTAGAACCAGAAACAGTACAGATTCACTCAAACAGCTTGTGAAAAAATAGTTCAGATGTGATCGTCCTACCGCAGGGTTTGAGCCTGCAGAMAATCCAAGAGGAGAGGCAGTTCCTGCAAAACCAAAAAATAAAAAAATTAAAAAAAAATTGCGTAAAAATGGCAGTTTGAAAAAAAAAAAAAAAAAAAATTAAAAAAAAATTGCGTAAAAATGGCAGTTTGAAGCAGCTCAGATTATTTTTTCGAATCTTTACCTTCGCAGGCAGAGCAGAGCTTTGCTTTTAGCTTGTACTTTGAGAAAGACAATACTAAGAGCACAATAATGGAAACTGCTAGTGCCACACTCAGAACGTACACCAGAAGATGAGGACCCGTGGTCGGATCTAACAAAACAACAAATGCTCTTAGCTACTGACATTTGCAATAAATAAACGCAGTATTGTAAAACTGTGGATGTGGGAAGAAAATGTTGCTGTGGTCACGTACCTACAATCTGAACCTTTGTTCCGTCTCCAAAGACGATTCGCCCACAGGAGACCAAAACACAGCGGTAAGTTCCCTCATCGGAGGAGTTTACAGACTTTAGCTGAAGATTGGAGGTGCAGTTTTTCCCGAGTGTCTTCTCATTTGAGAAGCTTGTGCAGTGTTCCTCACCAGGATAGATGACTGAAGGCTGCGACCCACCATGTCTGAACCAGTAAAGGCTCTGCCATTCTTCATGTTGCTCAGCAAACACAGTACAGCTCAAATTCACAGAGTCCCTCAACTGGAGCATTTCCATCGCTGGTTGACGGATGAACGGCCGAGCGTCAGACAGAGATGTTTTCACATGAAGGAAAACTCCTTGCCCAAATTCAATGCCGCTGAATGCTAAAGTCCCGCAGTAATATGTCCCAGAATCTGACAGTTCAAGGTTTGTAATGGTCAGATTGTTGCTGCTTTTTTCAGTGTGAGTGTCAATGCGAAACCGTGTTTTATATAACGGGTAGATTTCAGCTTTATCGCTGAGCATCATCCAGTTGGATATAAGGTGARGTTTCCCATTTAAACCTTGCTGGTACCAAACAAGGAACGTCACAGCCTTGTTGTGACAGGAACAGTGTAAAGTCACGGTCTCCCCAACTCTGGCAGTCAWAATCCCAGTCGTCTGAAATATTTCTGAGATCGCAACAGTAAATCCTGAACCTGTTTAAATGCAGATAATATAAAAAATGTTATTAGAAGTTTGAATTCTCATTGCTCTCTTTCAGACTTGCGTTTTCACACGTAGGAACAGTCAACATGTGTTGAGTACTCACAGATACAGAAGAAAAGCAGAGAATAAAGTGACCCCATTTCTGAAGCAGCRCAGTCTCTGAGCTCACGGATGCACTAAATTTTGCTCTAAAGATGACAAAGACATTTTTGTGATTGGCTAAGAGGAATGGTTGCACGAAAAATCAGGCTTGTGATTTGCTCTGATCCGAAAGAACTGCTGAYCAGCTTCCTGGGGGTGGACTAAGGGTTAGTTCGGCCCGTTAAGTTACTGGAGGACAGTACAATGTGGCAATGTGTAAACCATGAAAAAAAACAACTTTCCATTTGTGAGTAGAAATATTAAGAGCTGGTACACAACAACCATGCTCAACAAGATGCAGCAAAGCAAAAAGGCTGAAATGCATTTTTTATTTCTTTTTGGCTCTTCTTATTTAATATAAAAATGTTCCCATTAGCTCAGATCATGATAAACAAAATGCAGATGATGCACAGCTCTGCCACCAGCTGACCAAGAACTCATTTGAATGTTGAACAAGTCAATGAACGAATGTGCAATAATCTTCTTCTGAACAAAAAAATAAAACTGAAATAAGTATTTTTGGGCCAACAAAGGAGAGATCAGGAGTCAGCACAAAMCTCTTAGTTCTTACAGAAACTACTGATCAGGTCTGAAGTCTGTAGTGATGGACTCAGACCCATACATGTCAACTTGTAYGGATTGTAAGTTATAAGGATTTTACGTCATTTTGCAGGTATACAGACATATAGAGCAATCTCACGGATTTTTTCAAGTCGTACGGATTTTTTCAAAACCTCAGTTTCAAATTTATCTAACATGTCAGAATTTATCTAACATGTCAGAGCCTGTATAGGAGGATTTTAAAAACAATAAATAACATCAAACAGCCATCTTCCAACCTGTTCTGTTCTGCCACTAGAGATAAGTTTTGAACTTTTTTCGCTGTCCTTTCAGCTGTCATCTCAGCAACCGAACCCCCCACCCCCCTCCCCCGTGGGTGCGAGTTGTACAAATTTTTTACAAAATTTACCGATTTTTGAGGCTTTTTATACAGGTAAACATCCGAAGAGGTTGACATGTATGCAGACTTGAACTTTCAGAAACACAAAGACGGTTACAAAGTCTGTCACCTGAAGATCATTTCCAGGGTTAAAGGACTGAGATAAACTCATCCATGTGTTATCGTTAGTTGGACTGATTACTGTAACAGTGTCTTCACAGGTCTGCCTAAAAAGTCCAGGCAACTGCAGMTGATCCAGAACGCTGCTTTCCCCATCCCTCACTACACCCCGCCTCCTCCAAACGTGTGTTTTCAAATGTTTTAACCTTTATCTCTTTGTCAATCACCTTTATTTAACCAGATAGAGCCCATTGAGATCAAGATCTCTTTTCCAAGGGTGTCCTGGTCAAGTGGTCAACAGCACACATCACAGGGTGGTTGACAYAAAAGTTACATTGTAGAAAAGAAAAGTATAAATAAAATACAGTCGCAGATTCAGACAATGAGTAGTACAAACAGTCGAGATGRGGCAAAGTAATAATCTAGGCGTTGACAGTAGTTTCGAGACTTATTGAAATGACATTTGAGAGTTAAATTACCAAGATTTGGTTGAGTACAGCCTGAAAAATAGAAGTAACACATACTTAARACAAACATAGGCAGCTWTCAAACCTTTTGATGACAGTATCTGTAAGGGTTGAAGTGAAGGATCTCGGAGTGACGAGTTTTGCTAAATTGTCAAAATAATAAAAGATTAAAGTTACAAACTTTTCTTTAGAAAAGGGGGAAAACTGAGTTATACAGAGTTTTAATTATTTAAATGGACTGCTTTTGGTGGTTTTTATATATAAAAAGTAAATTGATATTTTCACAACCTCTGAGCAGACAAGGATTGTCCCGTGTCTGATGGGCTCATGGTTGGTGAAATGTTATTTGGGTCTACCACCGGTCTTTTTTTGTTCCAGACGAACCTCAGCAGCAATGGCATGCTGCGAGAGGGCTTGCTTATGCAGCTCAGCTCAACAATCCGACCACGTTCAAGGAGAGAAAACTTTTTAGACTTTGCCATCTGTCTTCCAAATAACTAGATACCCACTGTAATGCAGGTAATCTAATACCATATTTATTTAGCTTTTCAAAAAGAATACTGTGATTAATAG